CCTGCCGGCCACCTCTATATAATTGTCAGTTTTATTTGTAGTCCATATGCAGGTTCTGCATTAAGTATTTTAACATCGTTCCCAGGGCCTTCTCCAGTTTCCCATATTTGGGAGTGGGTCCCACCCCCAACTGAGGGAAAAAGCCCTGGGAATAAGGTTGTAAATATTTGGGTGATTTGTGTAAAGATTTTGCATTTAATAGATTATACCATACCTCAATGGATTAGTTCTCGTTGAGTTCAACTGCACATTTGACTACGTTTCCTCGCTCACGGGAGAGCATGAGACGTCGAGCAAAGCGAACCTGCGAGAGATTTGCAGTGGGTCTATCTCTCGCATCACTAGTGCCAGTCCCTTACCCACCCTTTCTTGACTCGTCACAAGTCCGGTAGGTGAATTGGAATGGAGAGGTCCTGATTCGGGGAAATATGCGTTAAACAAAGATATTTATGAAATCTGATAAGATTCAGCGATGCATTTACATCGCTTTCCTTTTGTTTTATCTTTTTGTCAGCTTGTGAGGACGAAGACCGGGATTGTCCATACTGGGCAGACCGCGATGAATGCTACAAAAATCCACAATATATGCTACGCTATTGCCGCAGAAGTTGCGACAACTGTTAGGTATACATGCGCACCAGTAATTTTTCAAACGGTAAATATACCACCGAGAGCTTTAAAGTTCTATGTCATTTTGCGTTTTTTTTTTTATTCGAAATATTTTAATTCTCTCACCAATTTATTTGTAGGGAGGAGCATTCTTTCTATTTTCTTAAAAAGAAAAATCTCAAATAACTGAGACCCATTTGTCACTCTTGTCTTTCTTTACAGCTGCCATCTTGAATTCATCATTGTGGTTAAAATGGTTCGTTAAGTGGCTTTTATCTTGGAGAGAAAAAAAAAACAATGCGAGTGACTTGGAGGCAAATACACAATCATACTCGCTGTAGAACAAACGAGAATCTTCGTACTTTTGATATGTAAAATGAGAGATGTTTTATGAGATGACGAATAGTTTTAAGAGAAAGAAAGTGAGCATCAGTAGGGAAAAGTTTTCAATTTCAAAAAGATGTTATCCGTTACCTAAAAAGCGACATGAATGGGTCGAATTTCAACAGACAATTCAATTATATAACCATGAAATCCTTTGGTTAATCACGGTAATGTGGCATTTATTTTTTTTTTTCTTATTGTAGAGTTGAAGTGAAGCACATTGGACCTGTCTTCCACCGGAACAGATAAAAAAGATTTGAGGCAATAAATTTTATTTTTCTCGCATAACTTGGGTTGGGTGAAGGAAGGTGCTGGGTTGCCCATGTAAGGGTTTTTCGCTGTGCTTATTGTAGAATTTTTAGCCTCATCATCTGTAAAATAAAACAAATGATGAGCTAAAAGGCTGTGGTTTATTCTGTCGGTTCTTAGTAACCATTCCGTAACCCAAAGGATTCAAAACAGAGAAAGAAGAAATGGAAGGCAAAATTGGCTGATTTTTGTTTAAATTTTTTTTTTAATAATCTTTTAAATATAGACTATTGAGCAGCACTTCTGCGAACAGTAGTTGTAAAACTTCTTTTATTTTCCGACCCGTTTCGTCTAACTGTCGTA